GCTGCCCTTTCTTGTTAAATGTCGACTGAAAGGTTTGTTTAATGGATTACTACCTTTCAGAAACGATACATGAATAGGTTTATTGCTCCTCAGCAGCCAGAATTACAGGAAAACTCCACGATGAAATTCATAGCCAAAATGGGAAACATCAGTACAGGTGTCTGGCAAAACAACAATCCTTAAATCTTATCACATAAACTACTTAATTAATTTTGTGCTGTGAACACAAACACATGACTGTTTGGGGAATCGTTTAGAATAAGAAACTGTAGTTATACTATTAACAAGGAGATTAATCATTTTAATAGCCAGAAACCTAATAACATCAAAGAAAAAATATAACTATGCTTTGATTCATGGTACGTGTCTGAATAATGCTAGTGTGAAATAATAAAATAAATGGAGACAAATTGTTCCAAAGAACATGTTTCGCTCCTGTGCAGCATTATTTAGTCTGTATTGTTAATCAGATTTGGCATATTCATAATTTTCAACAGGAAAACCAAAGGAAAGCTTGGGGAAAAACCCCAGATATTCTCCCAAGGCAGTAAAGGCAGGTATTAACAATGTTCTCATTCAACCTGTGTATGATTAAACATTGGTGTAGTATTTTTGCCATATGAATAAAATTTCATGAATTGCCAAAAAAAGCAGTCACATGAGCAAAAATGTTTTTCACCATGAAATAAGAAGATATATGTGTGAAAAAGCTCACAGAAAAATATAATGCTCTACCACTACCTCTAAATAAAGATGGCATACCTCTTTCTTGGACTTAATTTATGTTCACATCCTCTCAGACCTTGCCCTTTTTACCAGATTTGGGTAAAGTATGGTAATTTGTACTACTGATGCATACCAATTCATTTATATATTAAAGTATTTAAAACTCTATCTCACACATTACTGACAATTTTAAGGCAATTAAAAGCCTATCCAGTCCAGATTTTTATGTAAACTAATGGTTAAATAGCTCTCTCTGATGTTTTTGGTCTTCTCAATCATTTAGTTCTTTTTCATTAAAACAAAGAAAAAAAAAAGGGAGAAAAAAGCTCTAATTCTAGAACAGTAGGGGAGGAGGTTCTGAAAGTACACTGACTATAATTGTATTTAACAGAAAAGTACCAGGACAGTACTAATGTTTCAAATAAAGCACATATACCTTTAAGTCTGGTCAATTTGTGTGCTGGCTAAGTTAACACACAGAACACAGACCAGTTCTTTCATAAGTACAGCTTTTCTTCACACCATTTAATAATGCAAACAACTGTTACAAGTAAACATAGATTTTTATCTCCTCAAAAGGAAACTGGGCTGGGTTGAATAGGCCTGTAACCTCTCCTGCAGGAAAGATGCTTAATTTACAAACATGTTTAGAGGGAGCTTTTTTTGATTGTTTTCATCGAACACTATGTAATCAAAAATTAAAGCCTTCCAGGTGACAAGGACGGTCATGGTCTAATCATGCTAAGAGATGTGTGAAGATATTTCTGCACACAATTACATCGTAAGTGCAGGTGCCTGTTTCTTCGTAATATTTGCATCAGAATCTATGAGCAACTAGGTACAGATGGTGTATAAGTCTACAGAACTACAGAAGTTTTCTGTGGATTTTATATATCAGCTCCATGCACAGCGAGACAGAGGGTGCTTTCCTTAATAATACACCTTAGTATAATACGTAGTTTTAGAAAAATACATATTACTGAATATTGATTTAAAAGTGGCTTAATTTTGAAACAAAAAAATCAAGATTTGAAACTTTGACATTGCACATTGAGATATGCAAGAGTTAATAAAGTTCAATTATATTGCACAGTTTTGAAAAAAGTGTGATAAATCAGCTATATAATTTCCATATTAATTAGGTTAAACAGTCACCCTAATCAAAACCTTAGCTCTGTGAAAAGCATGAACGTGATTTTAAGTGATAAGCAGAAATTACTAGCAACACAGGAAATGAATTAAAATATAGTTTTTCTTCAAACAATTCAGATTTCAAATCACATCTGATACCTCCAAGAATTGTTTGGCTTTTTATGTTAAGTTAAAATGAACAAAGTTTCTTCCTTATTTCAATTAAACAACTTCAGTATTGCTCCTACCACGGCTATGTGTAGGAAAGCATCACTTACCGGAACTGACCACGAGGTGGTGATATTTGAATAGAAATGAGTTGTATTTGGTCCTAAAGAGGTTTCAGATGTGCTGAATAACATTTTGTGCACTAAGTTTTGGTTTAAAAAGAAACAAACACAAAAGAGCCAGGTTTCATGTGAATTGTTGCCATAAGTAACATAAGTAACGAGTGGTGTCCCTCAGGGATCGGTGTTGGGACCAGTCTTGTTTATTCATCACTGACATGGACAGTGGGATTGAGTGCGCCCTCAGCAAGTTTGCCGATGACACCAAACTGTGTGGTTCGGTTGATACCCTGGAGGGAAGGAATGCCATCCAAAGGGACCTCGACACACTTGTGAGGTGGGCTGATGCCAGCCTCATGAGGTTTAACCATGCCAAGTGCAAGGTCCTACACCTGGGTCGGAGCAATCCCAGGCACAGCTACAGGTTGGGCAGAGAAGAGATTCAGAGCAGCCCTGAGGAGAAGGACTTGGGGGTGTTGGTTGATGAGAAAACGAACATGAGCCGGCTTCAGTGTGCGCTTGCAGCCCAGAAAGCCAACCATATCCTGGGCTGCATCAAAAGGAGCGTGACCAGCAGGTCGAAGGAGGTGATCCTGACCCTCTACTCTGCTCTCCTGAGACCTCACCTGGAGTATTGTGTGCAGTTCTGGTGTCCTCAACATAAAAAGGGCATGGAACTGTTGGAACAAGTCCAGAGAATGGCCACGAGGATGATCAGGGGACTGGAGCACCTCCCGTATGAAGACAGACTGAGGAAGTTGGGGCTGTTCAGCCTGGAGAAGAGAAGGCTGTGTGGAGACCTCAGAGCAGCCTTCCAGTATCTGAAGGGGGCCTATAGGGATGCTGCAGAGGGACTCTTCATTAGGGACTGTAGTGACAGGACAAGGGGTAAGGGGTTAAAACTTAAACAGGGGAAGTGTAGATTGGATATAAGGAGGAAATTCTTTCCTGTTAGGGTGGTGAGGCACTGGAATGGGTTGCCCAGGGAGGTTGTGAATGCTCCATCCCTGGCAATGTTCAAGGCCAGGTTGGAAGAGGCCTTGGGTGATATGATTTAGCGTAAGGTGTCCCTGCCCACGGCAGGGGGTTGGAACTAGATGATCTTAAGGTCCTTTCCAACCCTAACAATTCTATGATTCTATGATAACATGCAGCCACCTGTCTATACAAAAAAAAAACCACTTTATTTTAAGCTTTTTAAACTGCCTAGCATTGAAACCTTAAATAGCAAGCTTGCAAGAAAACCATGACAGTTGTAAAGGGATTAAATGTTCTGTGCGAGGATCTATGCCATCGCCAAAAATCGTTGGCTTAAGGTATCTGGAAAGTAAACAGATGACACATTCACTAGGTCTTGCCCTATCAGGATCAAAACTGAAATAATAATGAAGCAATACGTTTGTAATCAAAGCATTCACCTAATACATTCACTCAGACTACATAGAAAGAAGAATTTAAATTATTTCTTTTTTTACATTAAGGGTGTTAAAACACTGGAGGAAGTTGCCCAGAGAGGTAGCAGATGCCCCATCCCTGGAAGTGTTCAAAGGCTAGGTTGGTTGGAGCAATGTGGTCTAGTAAAAGGTGTCTCTGCCTGTGGCAGGGGGCTGGAACTAGGTGAGCTTTCCTTTCCAACCCCAACTATTCTATGATGCACAATATTCATTAATACTGTAGTGTTACTGTCATGAACTCATTTGTTGCATTGAGCTGATACACCTCCTTGACAAACACAGAGTGTAAAAGGCCACCCGACTGGAAATAAAGTTCCACACTAAAACTGTACCTTGGCTTGAATTCTAGAATTTCAGCATCTCCATTGCTATTTGTGCAACTATATCACCACACAACCGGACCTGGACAGAAGCACTTTCACGTGTTGGGGTGCCTGAGAAGGTGCAGGCAGGGTCTCAGCAACCCCTCAAACACTATGAGGAGATGGAGAAATTGCTCTGGGCCCAGCTGCATCGCCACCCTCAGCATATCGCTGCAGGAAGGTACCAGGATCTCCCAAACCACCTTATGAGATAGCAGGCCTCTTCTTTCAAAGCTCCTGCCAGACTTGGCAAAACTGCGAAGAATCCAAATGGATTTTTTAATTCTTAGTATTATTTTACTTGCAGAGGCCTTTCCATGCTACATCTTGGTCTGGAAGGTACTCCTAAGAGGGCATAAATGTGAGAGAATCACAGAATGGTTTTGGTTGGAAGGGAAAGTTCATCTAGCTCCAGCCCCCCACCACGGACAGAGACACCTTCCACTACAGCAGATTGCTTCAGGAATGACTACCTCTACTCCATTCAAGGAATAACCACCTGTATTCCATTCAAAGAATAGCTCCCTCTACTCCATTTAAGGAATAATTATATCTTCCCTTGCCAGAACATTTTCTCCAGGATTTTGCTGTCAGGGGCTGAAGAGCTTCTCGCACTTGGCTCACAGAATTTATTGTTCAGATACACACACCTCTGCCTACAGCATGAAACACGCTCATCCAGGGAAGGCCATCGCCCACCAAATGAACGTGGTTTAAACCACACGGGACTTAAACTACAATCTTGAATAATTTACTGTTCTACAGGTGGGCTACAGAGGAGCAGTGAATACTCTAGAGCGCACAGACTGCAGGACAGGATTGTTGAGGTGTGCGTGCGCAGTCGGCAGCGCCCCCAGCCCCGCCGGGCGTGCCCGAGGAGGGCAGTCGGCATTCCTGCCCGTTTTTAACATTTATGGATTTATTTTATTGCCTTCCTTCTCCCGGAGGATCCCCCCAGGATACCCACCCCTCCCGCGCTGCTCTTGGGCCGGCCCCCTCATTGGCGGGCTCTGCCGCTCCATGGCCCAATCGCTAGCTACAGCGATCGTCATGACGACGGAGGACGCCGCACGGCCGAGGCAGCAGCATGGCTACCTACAGACCCGGGGTGCTCATCGGCAACTGGAACGAGGACTCGTGTCTGGGGGAGGTGAGGTGGAGACGGGCCCCTCTCCCCTCGCCAGACTCTTCACCTCTCGGTGTCCCCTCAGATTCCTCAGTACAGTTTAAACCTGAGGTTGGGAGTTCTGGGTAACATGCCTACCCCCTCTCTGTCTGCCAGGACCTCTTGAGGGATTTTCTTCATAAAAGAGAACGAGGAGAACTTCTAACACAGAGAATAAACAGGCTTCAAGACAACCTTTTAAGGAAGGTAATTTTTTTAAGACGATTATGTCAATCCTCAATGACTCCCCATAGACTGGAGTAGCTGTTATTAGTATCCTTTATGCATTAAGGATGCTATGGATTAACATTTTGAATGCTGAAATACTTCTGATATTAGCTTCAGATAATTCTGCAAAAAATTATGTATATTTCTATTCAGATACACCTGTCAGTGTCTGAGGATGGATTTGTTCATTTTGGAGACACAGTGATGCTTTTGAATAGTGACGACAAACCCTCGGTGGAGAATCCCTGTGGTGTGTGTGGCAGTCTGACCTTGGCAGTTAATCTGGATGAACTGTCCATATTTTCACCTCTACCATTGCAAACCCTTCATGGAGTTAGTGCAATCAAGAGTGTGGTCCCTGTGGGTAGAAATACTTTCTGTATTTTAAGGTTTGGAAATTTATTCGTTGTTTTCAATGACTACTTTAGCTTTCAGTACCTTGTTTTGAGAAATATGCAATGAAGTTTGCTAATATGCAAATGAATTTGAGGAAGATTAATTTATTTAAGGGACTTTAACTTGGGTTGTGCATTATGCTTGATTCTGTTCCACCTATGTGAATAATTCCAAGAAAATTTAAACCAGCTCAGAAATTGTGTGAAACCAGAATGGAGTTCACAGTATCATTTGATAAACTCTGCATCTGTTTTGAAGGTGGTCATATTTCAGCTGTAGAATAAAAAACGTGTCCTAATTTGACTTAGAATCATTATTCACTCTTCTGCAAGTAAGGTCTCTGAAGTGAAATTTGTGTTGATGCTTTTTCTGTACATGGACAGTGTTTTCCTAAAAAAAACCCCATTAACCAAACAGCATATTCCCTCTCTCAAAGACATATATAATTCCAGCTGTTTGTGGGAGAAGAAACAGAAGAACAGCAGTCGAAAGCTCTGCCTTAGTGCATGCATTTAACAATAGCATATAAGAGTACAAACTAACCCATATAATCCTGATTGAGCAAAACACTTTGGGTTAGACCGAAGAAAGAATTTTGGTGCTAAGAGCATAATTTAGGCCTTCTAGAACTGCAACCAAAATGTTTTTGCTTAGCTGCTGACTGAATGCTATTGAGTCCCTCATTAAAAAGTTTATCAGCTGCAGCTGAAAATACTTGGTGATCTTAGCACTTAATGTTTCTGTGAAAAGCAGAGATTATTCTGGAAATAGGGATATACCAGCATGCATGCTGATATAATGAGACAAATTACTGAATATCAGTTACATACATTATTAGCAACTTCTGTTAAGTTACATACAAACAAAACACACGCTGTTCTGCTTTTAGTATGTGATTCTATTGGTTTTTCATTGGTTGTTATCTCTCCACCCTGTATGTTAATGAATATATCCTAAAAAGTTATCAATACAGTCTCTTTCTATTCTGTTAAATATTTTAACCAGTAAATCATGTATGAAATGTCTTTTGAGTTAAGATATTTTGCCTATTTTTAAAGGTAAACTTCATACAACAAGTTGCCACAAGACCTAACTGTAGAGCAAAATTTTTTTTTTTAAAAAAGGTAAAGCTGATTTTTAAAATAGTTTCTTTCTTCCCTTTTACAATTTTAACAGTGTAGATGGAAGTGCACTGGGTGAACCAGTTAAATATGGGCAAGTCTTTGGTCTTGGGACAACAGGAGGGTTTTCTGGCCACATGGTAAGACAATAAAGCTGGTAATGGTAGCATATACTGATAGTGTGCATTTAATTACTATATATATGAAGCTGTACAGTGGTTCAGCATCTTAGCTTTACAGAACAGATTCAGAATTGTAAATAGATCAAGATAAGCAATACTTACTTAGAAAGTGTATGCAACTTACCTGAGATCAGGTGTGCACGCGAAGGGGGCTGTCACACAGAATGTGTAGATGAAGGAGATTTAAAAAAAAGAAAAGAAAGAAAGAAAATTAAAATTAGCTTGCGAATCATGAAGAAATTCATCATTAGAGGGAGATTTTGACTTTTTTTTACTTTAAATAATTCTAAAATGAGATTTTATTCCTTGTGAAGACAAATCTATAGCAGGTATATGAGGTAACATATATAATATATTCCACCATTCTGAGGGAGCAGATTTCTATTAATCATTCATATTGTTAACATGTTCCCCTCAGCAAATTAGAAGCAAATAAGACATTATGGATTACACGTGCACTCAAAATAAACTTTAAAAAAATTTTCCTCTCAGCGACCACTTTGGTGAGAGAGAACCTTTGGAATGTACATTCAATTTTAAATTATTATTCACCAGTCTGCATACAGAATAGCTACTTAATGAGTTTATGAACAGCAGAGGATCTATGTTATGGGATTTTCATGTGTATCTTTAGCTTGGCAGACTGATTTCTCAGGAGTCAAAAGAAAATAATGAGTTGAAAAATATTTTCTTAAATTACAGACCTGTTTCTTTTATATTTATACTGTCCTTATTGTATATTTTTATTTACAGTTGTATCTAGCAAGTGACCATAAATCATTTGTAAGATTTGCTAAAAAATCTTACCTTCAGCAAGTTTTTTTGACAGATGAGCTTTCTTATTTGACCCGCTGGCAAGCTGCCTTCTTGGATCCACAGCTGCGTCTTGAACATGAAGGATTTCCAGTTCCTGTAAGAAATTAAAACTGTAGAAAACGTTGTGAAGATTTAACTGAAACAGTAGATGGAGTACTTAGAAACAAGTTGTGTGCATTTTCATAGAATGGTTTGGGTAAAAAGGGACCTTAAAGCTCATTTCCAACTCCCTGCCATGGGCAGAGGCACCTTCCACTAGACCAGGTTGCTCCAAGCGCCTTTGAACCTGGCCTTGAACACTGCCAGGAATGAGGCAGCCACAGCTTCTCTGGACAACCTGTGCCAGCACCTCACCACCCTCACAGTAAAGAACTTCGTCCTAATATCTAATCTGAATCTACCCTCTTTTCAGGTTTAGTCACATGTTTTCTTTATGTAAGTTCTGACCTGTAATTTTAGGAAGGGGGAGAGGGAAGGAACAACCTCTTTAACCAGGAAATCTGCATATACAACTGTGAGGTTCTGGTGTTTATTTTGAGGCTGATTTGCTTGGTTTTTCTATCAGAATTTTTTTAAAGGTTGACGTTATCAAGTTGGGAGAACGCAGTACTTGGAATCTGCTTTTCGGCACTTCTGAGCAATAAATTCCATTTCCTGCATTAGGAGCTCTGATCAATTAAGAACTCCAACACATTAAATTTAAAAAGTATGAAAAGCCCCTCAAAACACCTGGATAAGTGGATGGCTTTCTAAATATGGGTTTTAACCCTTTGTAAATAAGTTAAGTAGATGGAGTATTTTTCTGTTCTACATACCTGTTGGTCTTCCTGAAGTGTTGCAGTATGGCAAAATACTACAAATATAACTGTTCCCCTACAGCCTCGAACAGTGACTCATTTACATGAATCAGCTCAGTAATATTTGACTAATACAGTCAAAATTATGTAACTGTCAAAGACAGCATTCTTTATTTACAGTATTGGTAAGTGAAAGTGACTAAAAATCAGTTCTGTTACATATAAAAAAAATTGCAAATTGGTAAAATAGAAAGGTCAATTTCTAGGCTGCATCCCCAAACCATCTGGATCTTTCATATGCCAAATATCAACTGTAAGAAGAATCACCCTGATGGCAGAGGCCACTGGAATGACTCTCTAATACTTCCTTGACATTTTACTTTTTAAGTGCCCAGCAGAAGGGAGTGGTTGAGAACTCCAGTTGTGTTTTGAAGTGCTCAGCAGGAGGGAGGGCTTAAGAACTCCAGTTGTGTTGAGAACTGATAAGGTATAAAATATCTCACTATAAATATACAGCACTCTTGAGTGATGCAGCTTACACTAAACAGTAAATAAAAACATTTCATTTGAATAAGAACAGTTAAAATCAGTATAAAAATTTCTGCCAAGTGTCTTCCCTTGGTTTTGTTTTTTTCTTTTCCAGGCAAACTCCAAAATTATTATTACCCATTGCCAAACTAATCGCAGCTTGGCTGTTCCAAGGAACTTTTGGACAAGGTAAGCATAATTTATGACTGGCAGGGATGTCCATAACAATGTGCCAACATCAAGAATTACTGTAAGAAGAAAGACAGATACTTTAGGAACACACTGATGAAATGGAAAAGAATGCAGAATGAATATTCTTGTTTCTCTTATTTTATTTTATTTTAATTAAGCATTGTAAAGGAGTATAGCAATTGTTTCCTATTAAACTCAGAGCAAGAGGTGACTGAGTATTTGTATCAGGTTTTTGAGGATGAAAGAAAGTCTGAAACTTTAAGGCTGAAACAGCTGTTAAGTAGCCAGTTTTCCTCAGTCGGAGAGAAACGGTGATGGGAACTTAACCAGCTTATACATACTGAGTCGGTGTACCAGAGCCTTATACTGATGGGGCTGCTTTATCTTTGAAGCTAGGAAAGTGTCATTTCCTCCTAACTTCAAATTCCTAAATTATTCATAGGAAACCAAGTGGGCTATTGCATTTCTTGTAAGGGTCTGATATTTAAAATTGGATGGTGATATTTCTGAGTAAGAGAAAACCTTGAACAATTTACAGATAATGCAAATCTGCTGAATTTGTATATGTATTCATTGCCCATCCCCATCCCCATTTTTCTTTGACTTTGCAGGTCTTATTTTGGAAGAGAGTATGAAGTAATTTGTCACACTTTTCTGGACACCCATAAAGCTGAAGAAGATAAGAATTACTGGGAAATAATTACAGGAGATCCCAGTGATGAGGATAGTACAATGATTGATAGGCGCAACCGTCCACTAGGGTGGATCAGAAAGAATGAGTCTTGTGAAGAGAGAGAATAAAAAAAATCCTAGCCTACAGCCAACAGAGGTCAGTGAGATTCTGACTCTTGGGTTTCCTGTTCAGATTCTAGAGATGCTTGTTTTAAAAATGGAAATGAAAGTCTACTGTAAGTAATATTGCACAATCTCATCATGGTTATACAGTGGGCAAAAACTAACAGAATTTTATGAATCATGCAGAATGTTAAAAATTCATGAACCAGGAAGGGTTCATTTTCCCATTTTCCCATTCATTGATGGCAAAAAATGTCAAAATCAAGGAAATCTAATACATTTGCACTAAACTACTGGCTTTCAGAGGGTACTAAACCAATTCTTCCAAAACCAAACCAGTGTCACTCTTTTTAAAATGAGTGTACAGTTTCCAGAACGCTGAAAACAAAACTCATGAACTGTCATTGGATACTTTGACATTTAAAGTTCATCTGAAAGAAAGTTGGTTGTTGAGCTTGTTCCACACTCTGCCTAGCACAATGTTGTGAATTATTGAAAAATCACAAATGAGCTGTCTCTATCTCAAGACTGGCTTCCAATTTATGGAAATGAACTTAAAAAGTGTATAAATTGATTTATGTTTGGCCATGTATTCTAAACATTTAAATGCCGACTGATCAAGAACTTGAGCACAGTGATACAGACTAGAGACTTCTGTCAGCTTTTTCCAACCACCACCATTTTCCATTTGCCTCCCACCCACAGAATTTTTCAATTCATAATCACTTCTACCAAGTTTGACAGCAAGGTAAAATTGTTAAAATAAGCCCCAACAATTCTCATGAAAATATATGTTAAAGTAGAAAAAGAATAAGAGAGACTGTAAGTTTATCCAGTCAGAAAAAGATTGCTATCTGTGTTCATATGTAATTAGACACTGGAGAATCCGCATAAAAAAAATGGCCCAATAATGGTAAATTGCAGCTGGAACTCATGTTTTTTTTTTTTTTTCTAACAAGAATATCAACCAAGCATGAGATGCAAAGACATGGAAAACAGATGTCATAGTTACCTGCCTTTATATGGAAGCTGAAACAGCATCACAGAGAAACTTAATGCATGACATTCCATTATATCCATTTAGTAAAGCCACATGCATACATATTCCATTTCTTACTGTACCACAAGAGTGGGCTCTTTCAGCACAAAGGAAGTGAATTTCTGAGTAAAATACTACTTAAATCTCAAAACAGATTCAAAAAGCCATCTATGTTCATAAAGATCAAATAAACCTTTAAGTATTACCAACACGAAACCACTAAACTTTCACAAAAGAAGGGACTGGTCCAAACATGTCTCAAAGCTTTATTCCCAGATAGGCTGTTTGAAACCCACTGACAAGGCTTCAAAATCTCTTGCCTTTGTTCAGTATAAAGTAAATCAGCAGACTGTGGGATGGGCTAACTAGCACTTGGCATAGAGGGTCTCAGAGCAGGACATGCAGGTTCGCTTTGGGGGAGTGTATCACAGAAGACAGGTTTCCAATCACAATCCTTGTGTGCAAACCTCCACAGGTCTGTTATAGATGGGGTATTATTGAGGAAATTATCTTTAGGAACTTTTTCTTTCACTTTCTATGTAAATATGTGAAATCTGACATGTAACTAATTATGCATGTTTTTATAGACACTGTTACTACTCCAATTTATAGAGATTAAAATTCTGCATGTTTTCACATTCTGCTTGGTTTTGTAGGTATTAAACTAGAAAAACTTCGGCTGCATGAGTGCACTGCAGTGTTTCTAATTTGACTGTTGTGGCCATTTATTGGTGTTGGGGATAGCTATTTCAAATCTGGCAAAGTCTCTTTCCTCTCAGTTAAATGTAAGAAACAAGAAGAGGCCTTAAACCAAAACCATGGCTGAAACAAAGTTTCGTGTGAACTCATGAAGGAATGAGAGCTGTGCGGGCAGAGTGCCTTCGCCATGGATAGGAGCTGTTGTGTGATTGTGCAAGCATTTAAGTGGAACAGAAGCAATGTGGGCTGTACAAAACCAAGTTTTGTAAAGTCTTAAAGGAAAACCAGATAGATACAGGAGTAGGTAATGTTGAAATTTGGTGCTGATTAAAATGGCTTGGAGACTTATGTGCATGATTTGATCAGTCTGCGCTCATGGGAAAGAACTTCCCAAGCTGTTGGAAAATAAAGAAAGTAGAATCAGCAGTTCCTGATCCCATTATCAGTTTTTCTTACCTAATACAGTTTCAAACCCACAGATTTGTGCATAGCTTCTTATACCATATAACGGCTATTTATAATACAGCTGATTTATGATATCAAATACAGATATTCATCTGCTACCTAGTTTTTAAAAACTGTTTTTTACAGTTCTTGTATTGTCCACATGATGGCACCACATTTTTCTAAATAGCACAATTACTGCTACATATGTAAAAGACCATGAAATGTTTAAATCCAAATGAGTCCCTGAAAATTGGCACAAAAGCCAATCAAGTTAAATCAGGCCTGAATTCTGGGCTAGGAAATGCCATTAATGTTTTATGGTGATTTTGGAAAATAAAGTTAAGCAACAAAGGGAGCTAGAACGTAGAGCACTGTGTCTTGCATACAGTCAGTTTCTTAAAGCTAATTGGAACATTAAGTAATTTGTAACCAAAACATACTTGGAGGAAATTATCCTTAGGAGTTTTTTCTTTCACTTTCTATATAAAGTTGTGAATGTATCTTTACATAGAAAGATGTGACAACCAATGCATGTTTTTATAGAGGCACTGTTATTACTTACTCCAATTTACAGAGATTATAATTCTGCACATTTTCACAACAGATTGACAAAATTCTGCTTTGATTTTGCAGGTATTAAACTAGAAAAAAAAAGTCGTGTAAAATGCACCACAGTCTGTCTGATTTGGCCACTGTGGTCATTTATTGATAAACACAGGATTTAATACAAAGACTTATGTAATTGAATATTAGTGCAGGATCTGAACAATCCTGCAACTGCCAGTTAGAGACACAGTGTGTTCTCGAATATAGTTCAGATTGCCATTCGGGTAATGGCAGTGATGCTTGCCTCATCTGCAAACCACTTTGCCGTATACCACGAAACACAAAATCAAGTATGAAGAAACCTTTTAATGCTTCTTCCAAATGAGACCCAATATGGATAGCTCTACAAAGTACACTGTGGGAAGAGAAAACTCACTTTGCCTCCATTCCAGGCAGCTCATAAGCTGTTAGCATGAAGCTGATCCTGAGCTATTAGTCCTTGCTGAGAGACAGGGTGCATTAGTTCAGATTTACTGCTGTGCTACTATAGCTTTTCAGAGGCCTGAGGCACTGAGAAAACTTACATCGGCACACGCTGTGCTGTACAGATGTGTTAGCAGCACATTATTGAAGTAAAGAAGTGGTACAGAGAGTTCATAGAGTCAGCAAAGAAAAGCTGACTAGTAAACTAGTTAACTCACACTGGTAACACTGGATAATGAAAATCCAGTTTTAAATCTGCTTTTCCTCTTCCCTCTCTTTTTAATGCTTACCCAAATCATATTTCCAATCACATCACTTCTATTCTGCTGTGCCACCTATCCCAAACTTACTGATTTGCTGTGGTTATAAAGTGCTCTTCAAGCACTCAGCACAAGTCCGTGGCCTGTCACCTTAATTACATCAATATCCTTAAGAGGCTATTTTTCTTTTCTGTGGTTATCATGAAGTATTGTTTTAGCTCAACTGATCAGAGGAGGAGGCCATAGGCAGGTTTGGTAACTGGATAAGACATCTGAGGGAAAAAAAATAAACAAAAAACAACCCCCCAGAAAAAGCACAGAGAATATTACAATAAGAAATTCCACACAACAGTGGAAGGAAAGTATCCAAGCACTGGAAAATTTGGTGGAGTTGGCAGGTAAGAGGGTGATTTTGATAACATCTGCGCCCACTCATCCTAAATTAACATTGCATGTCTGCTGTAATTTGAGGGGGACTGGGGAGGTGGAATGTTCTTTTAAAACCAAAGCTGTTGCTTTAGAAACACTCAAGACTTTTTAATGCATGAAAACTAAACTAAGAGGCCACAAAATAATAATACAGATATGAAATCAAAATACATTAAATACAAGTGGAAATTAGGCAATCTCTGTCATTTTGTCAACTACACTTCTATTCTATTCAAGGCTTTGTTCAAGTGTCACGTCCATTCTCTGCCTGACCTGCCTGTATACAGCCTTGAGAGAGGCAAGCCACAGCTTCTAAGCCCCCTGCTTCATGCTGGTTTGACTTCATCCTGGGAGCTGTAAAAGGGAATCTAGTTCTTAATACTGCATTCCTCCTGGATAAGAGGAGGAGTGGAAAGATCTGTCACCTTGCTGGATGTGTGCTATTTCAGCAGGGATATGAACAGCCATATAACGTCAACTACACTATTTGCATGCTAGGTTAGCATTACTTACAATGAGAAGTACAATCTGCAATAAAGACCACCCCCCTTTTGGTTTGGGAGGGATTTGTTTTGGTCAAAACTGTTATAAAAGGTATGTAATGAAACAATTGACACTTTTGTTCATTTTTTCATTGCTGGGCTTGTACAAGGCAGTCTGTTACCCAAGAGAAGAGAATCATCAGTGCAGCACTAGAAAGCATTACTACAGCACTTAGCTTTCGGGAAGTTTCTGTATTTTTTGGCAAGGAGGACTCACAGTGCAGTAGAATAGGCACAAACATTAAAAAATGCCTGATGACATTAATACCCTCATTCAGTGATGAAATTAATTTATACACATGCATCTCTGGTGTATGTTTACACGAGAAGCTCAGAGAGCTAATTTCACAACATCTGTTAAATGCTGCTTCATATAGTACGTCAAAACAAAACTAAACAGACCATCCAGTTACAGGCCAGCTAGTATATAAGTTTCTATAATGCTGGTCTTGTTTTAATTATAGGCTCCTTGGGGCAGGGACCATATCTTCATCTTTTTTTCCAAATACGAATAACTACAGCAAGTAGTTAACTAAGTAATGGCATAAAGTGGTTATTAAAAGTGGTTTTAAGATAACGAGAAATTGATGTAGACCTGGTGCAAATAAACAGAGATAAAGACATATGAAATCTATACATAAACCAGCACCAAATAGTAAACTCTTAGTGTGGGGTATGGAGCTGTAGCTGCCCAAGTAATTCTGACGTTAATAGGAGTTGCTAGGAGAAGAGCCCACAAACCACAGTGCTGTCCCTGTGGGTCTGACAAACCCACAGAGGGGAATAAGAATTATACATGGCAATGTTTACTTTCATACATATATTTAGTTATTTAATTATATGGCATAGTTAAAAATACCTAACCAACTTAAGTCCCATTTGCAAAAGTGACACCAGTCCTGAGAAACTGAAGAGCTGTTTCTGCAGCTTATTCACATTAGAAACTGCTAGGAATTAGGCTGTACATACCTTTGAAGATCTTAGTCTGACTAAGAAAATCACTTTCAAAATGGCAGTTAGCTGTTTCTGAAAATGTTACCTGTAGAATTTATGAAAACATTAAATCCCTAAACGAATGAAACCAAGAAACTAGAGAATAAGCAAAGCACTGAATTAAAGTTTGAGTTACTTTTCCTTTATGGGAAAAAGCTCTTAAAAGGCTAATTAACATGGATTATTGGTATAGGATCTCTAAAAGATGAAACATAACAGTTTGTGAAATTCACGTCAGGCAGCAATTTCTATCCACCTCCCTGGTTTCCTACTACTTTTCTTGCTTGAGCTTTCTGCCTCTTCTATATCCTGAAGAAATAACTGAGCAGTTGCTTAGGGAAAAGTTTAAGGTTCATCAGCTTTTCCGGTCTTTTTGCTGACAATTTTGGAAGCATCAGTTTAGCCAGAACACCCAAGATGTATTACAGACTTGCAAATAACTAGTGAATTTAACTGACCATGAAGAGAGGCAGCTTTTGCTATATAAATCTACATATCTATAGAAATAAAAATGAATTGGCACTGTATACACATACATACCCTGGGTTCTTTGGTGCTGACACAGAAATAGCATGTAGTTCAGCATATGCAGGAGAACAATCTTTCCTCATCTAAAAGTATTAATTGGTTTCTTTTGAAACTATCTAAACTAAGTAGTTCCTTCAGTGTAATCTTAAGTGGCCAGGGATATATTCAGGTCTGTAGCACATGTTGAGTAGAGGACCTAGATCACTTTACTGCATGATCAGTATTTCACAATTACTTTTAACTTTGGTGGCATAAATTCTGTGATGTCTTAATTTATTTTACTGTATTTTGTGAGCTTGCTGCTGAAGTGGCAGTTGAAATTTGCTTTTCAAAACTTTCCTATTGAAATACCAGCTTTGGAACAAACCAGCAATTCTGGCAGAAGTCACTGTATTGTACAAAAATTTTTATGACCAATAAAATATTTTTAGACCTTAAGTAGAACAAATGTTAGCAACTTGAGCAGGTTGCTGTGGTAATGGTAAAACAGTCTTTTGGGAGTCCCAAGCAGGCATAGTTGAATCTATCAGCATCCAACTCTAACAGAACGGGCAGATTTAAAGGTAACTAAAGAGCGCTTCCTGCCTTGTTGCCTGTAGAGGGGAAGGTCTGAGTATGAACCTGCAAATCTTACAGACGTAGTGCAGTTAACCCTGGCTGAGCAAGTTCTTGAAGAAAGCACCAAGACG